CATCCCTGGTTCAAGGGATTCTCTTGCCTCAGCCTCTGGGGTAGCTGGGATTAAAAGCGTTGCACCACCATGCCAAGCTGATTTGTTGTTGTTGTTGTTGTTGTTGTTGTTGTTTTGGGTTTTAATTTTTTTGGTATTTTTAGTAGAGACTGGGATTCTCCATGTTGCCCAAGTTGGCAAGTTACTGTGGGCTCAAGCAATCCACTTGCCTTGGCCTCCCACAGTGCTGGGATTACAGGAGTGAGCCACCATGCGTGACCTAAAACATAAAAAAATAAAATAAAAATAAAATTAAAAAAATCTATTACTTTCAATCACATGGATAAAGCTGGAGGACATTATATTATTTGGGATAAGCCAGGCACAGAAAGATTAATATCTCATAATTTCACTTCCACATGGATTCCAGAAAATTAATCCCATTGATGTAGACAGTAAAATGGTGACTATCGGATGTCAAGGTATTTAGAATGGAGGGTTGAAAAATGTATGTTACATAATGTGTAATTATAGTCAAATAGGAGAAATCAGTTAAAGAGATTTATTGTACAACATGGTGACTATACTTCATAATAATGTATTTAGATTTTTGAAAAATAAGAATGTCACATGGTCTTACCACAAAAATGTTAACTATGTGAGGTAAAGTATTAATTACCTAGAAATAATAATTTAACAATATATATATACTTCAAAATATTATGTTCTATAGAAAAAGTACACATTTTATCTGTCAAGTTAAAGCAAAATATTTTGAAAACATTATAGAAGAATAACAACATGTCAAATACTGCCTGGGTCTTTGTGACAATCTTGGCTAAACAGTATCAAAAATATATAGTTTTGGGGCTATTGTTTTAATTTAATTTGTCAGTCATAACCATGGGAACTGTGATATTTAACAGCATGTTCTAGGCCCAGCATATTGCATGGGAGAAGCCAATGTAGTTTAGGATTTTTGCTTTTAGCTTGGGGTACGTGGAGTTTCTGTTATCCCAAGCACGGTAGTGGTATGAAAGATACTAAAGGGGCAGGTATTGCTTATGGTCCCATGACTGGCCATTCTGTGAACACAGTCATCTAGTTCGCATGCCTAAAAACAGATGTTTTAACCCAAAACATATCAGGATCTCCAAATGGTCTTCAGAGAATGAGCGAGGAGTTGGCTACAGTTTGGTGAGTAAAAATAAAAATTGTAAACTTCTCCCACTAAAAAAAAATGAAAAATAAGAATGAGAAATGTCTCCAAATTGTAAAATCAATATAGAAATACATATTTTTCAAAATTTTAAATTCACAGAGATCATTTCATTATTTTGCAACCTTTAACAGTCACACTTAAAACATTCTGCAGGGAAATATAAATTGTGCAGTCAGTATACCACAGAAAAATAAATTTAAAATTGTTTACTTACCATTAACTCTCTTAAAAATGTAATTTCTATGTTTTCTAGCAAGTTGTATATTTGCCACACTTTGATTACGGGCATGAGCCACCACACCTGGCCACCTTTTATCTTAATTAACTGATCTGAAAGTTATATTGATAAGTAAAATCTCCAGTTAAAACCAATTTTGAGTGCAATAAAAATGCCAACTTTCTCATTAAAATCTACAAAATACCATGTGAAATGAAATGGCATGAAGACAACAATGAGAAAACTATAGCTATAACTCAGAAAAAGGGCTGTGATGCATGCATAGTTGGAATACACATAAAACAAACACGTGAAGAGAAGTAGAAAATAAAAGCAGAATTTTTTTTTTGTTGTTGTTGAGAAGGAGTCTCAAAGAAATAAAACAAAAACAAAAAGAGGAGGAGTCTCGCTCTGTTGCCCAGGCTGGAGTGCAATGCACAACCTCAGCTCACTGCAACCTCTGCCTCCTGGGTTCAAGCAATTATCCTGCCTCGGCCTCCTGAGTAGCTGGGACTACAGGTGCCCACCACCATGCCTGGCTAATTTTTGTAGTTTTAATAGAGACCAGGTTTCACCAGGCTGCTCTCAAACTCCTGACCTCAGATGATTCCTCTACCTCAGCCAGAATTGCTCTTTAAATTCAGAAAGATTCAGTTTTACAGTCTGGAAAAAGATATCCTCTCTAAATCAAGAATCAATCTTACTTCTTCACCATTGATATTTTTCATCTCTGAGTTGAAGTTACAAACTAACTCCAGCAGAAATATTTATGAATTATTATGGAGCATCTATTACACAGCAAAAACTGTAATGTATGTTTGCTACCTTTATACATAAAACCATCCTCATGACTTGCCGGGCACAGTGACTCAAGCCTGTAATCCTAGCACTTTGGGAGGCAGAGGCGAGTGGGATCACTTGAGGCCAGAAGTTTGAGACAAGCCTGACCAACATGGTGAAACCCCATCTCTACTAAAAATACAAAAAATTACCTGGGCATGGTGGCACATGCTTGTAATCCCAGCTACTTGGGAGGCTGAGGCTGAAGAATCATTTGAACCTAAGAGGTGGAGGTTGTGGTGAGCCAGTCGCACCACTGCACTCCAGCCTGGGCAACAGAGAAAGACTCCATCTCAGAAAAAAGAAAAAATAAATAAAAAATAAACCTCCTGACTTAGGAAGCCTCTCTAGTACTTACCTGAACACATTGACTCAATAAATAAAAATACTTGTGTCAATACTAAAAAGTGAAAGGAATGATCACTAAAGAAAAGAAAGCTTACAAATTGTTCTCTCATTAAAAAAACAATATGGAGTGCTCCAACCCAATAAAGTGTCACAACACACTAATTTTGGAATTAATGAGTTTTAGATAAAACTCATTTTGAGCGTACTAAATTTTATAAAAAGTCTTATAATCACAGACCAGCTCACATAATCAATACTTCATAAATTATAAAACAAAAAAAATATGTCAGAAACAAAGTATGGATCTAGCATGAGTACCAGGCAAGTAAATACAGAGAATTTAAATGGGAATATTCAGAACTGGAAGTCATGGATTTTACAGTAATAAATTCAATACAAAGCACAAAGTATGTGTTTGCTTTCAGCATTTTTTTAGGTTTTTAGTTTTATAAAGTCACCTCATTAAAATGATTTTTGTTCCCATATTGCTCTTTTCAAACTGATACTCACACAAACACACTCCATAATGTTCTTACACCTAAGGTTTGTCTTTAGACTAATACATATTTAACTCTATGTAAATCAAAACTAAAAGTCTGCATGTGTTTGCAGGCAGACAGGCCACATGTTCAAAGAAAAATATATAAGAAATTTGAAAAAAAAATTAAGAATTTAAAAATAAATTATATTTACACTTGTCTATAATTATTATTATGACCATAAAAATAACCCTGTAGGGCGGGGCATGGTGGCTCACGCCTGTAATCCCAGCACTTTGGGAGGCTGAGGCAGGTGGATCACGAGGTCAGGAGATCAAGACCATCCTGGCCAACATGGTGAAACCCCATCTCTACTAAAATACAAAAAAAAAAACAAAAACAAAAACAAAAACCACACACACAATTAGAACGTTCCTGTAGTCCCAGCTACTCAGGAGGCTGAGGCAGCAGAATAGCTTGAACTTGGGTGGTGGAGGATGCTCTAAGCTGGGATTGTGCCATTGCACTACAGTCTGGGTGACAGAGCAAGACTCCTCTCAAAAAAAACAAACAACAACAACAAAAACAACCCTGTAGTAGATAACAATTGTACATGTAAAAAAAATTTTTAAGTGTAGAATTGGATTGTTTGTAAAACAGAATAAATGCTAGAGGTGAAGGATGCCTCACTTAACACTGATGTTATTATTACATATTGTACTCCTCTATTAAAATATGCTATATATTGCATAAATATATACTCATATTATGTACCCACCAGAATTAAAATAAATTTAAATGATTAAAAACAATAAAAATTTAATCTACAGAAACAATATTTCTTATTTGCAGTTGAAAGCTACTGGCAAAAAAAAAATTATTAGAGATGTTAATCCATTATGTTACTAAATAGCATATTGTTACCATCTTTTACCTATACTGTTGAGTAAAGTGGAAGAGGTTAAAATTTGTGGCATAATGCTTCATTGAATGCAGAATAATATTTAACATGTAAAAATGTTGAATTAAACTGTTAACTTCACACATAATCTAAAATTTTTAAAAATGTACTGCATTTCATTATATAAAAGTACAACTAGTATAATATACTACTAATTTTAAATAAAATTAAACATGTTGTCTTTGCATGATTATGCAGAATATTACTCTGAATACCTACATCATTCATCACTCATTATTGTAAGTTAACCCCTAAGAGGCTCTCCACTCAGATTTTCATTATGCATTTTATATTTTAATGTCTTACTTTTCTATAGAAAAGATAATAAATAATGCCCACCTGATGAAAAATAATCTCTTGGCCAGGTGCGGTGACTCATGCCTGTAATTTCAGCACTTTGAGAGGCCCAGTGGGTGGATTACGAGGTCAGGAGTTCAAGACCACCAACATGGTAAAACCACATCTCTGCTAAAAATACAAAAATTATTTGGGCATGGTGGCAGAAGCCTGTAATCCCAGCTATTTGGGAGGCTGAGAAAGGAGAATCACTTCAACCAGATATGTGGAGGTTCTCCCACCTAGGCAAGAAGAGCAAAATCCATCTCAAAAACCAGAACAACAAAAAAGAATCTTTCCTATCTTTGATGCAGCAACAATTGATCCCATGCTTTCATGTGTGAATCCAATAGAAATGAAGAAACAGCAGGAAATAATTTTAAGGTTGAAAGACATTATTATTCACTTCTCAAAAAATGTGTAATACAAGAAATATACTTTTTATGCAATAATAATTCTGCAAAAACCCTTATGATCCTCTTAAAATTATATACAAATAATTTTTCTACCAACTTTAGTTTTAGATTTTCTGTACTCAGCACTCTGATTTAGTATATCTGAAGTGTCAGTGCCTTATATATTTCTACCATAAATCCTCTGATATTTGCATAGACTTAAACATCTGCAAAAATATCTCCTAGTATAAACTCTGTTATTTTCTAAGCTGTAGTTTTTGAAAGTTTTTCCAAATCTAATACATCTGCACAATTTTTCTTGAATATAAATCCCCTGATGCAGAACAAAGTTTGAGCAACTACTTCAGTTTTCCTCTAGAACAAAATGTCTAAAATAAAATCTGTGATGCAAGTAAAGCACTACAACCCTCTTTATATTTGTAATGTTCATCCTCAAATAAATACTCTTCACTACAAAAGCTTGTATTTTCTGAAAAATCTTTTGATAGAAATTGCACTTATAAATGCTTTTAGTATAAGTGTGAGTTCTCTGGTGTTAAGATGTGAGCATGTGGTGTGAGATGTGAGTGAGTAACATGTGAGTAAGATAAAAATGGGTTTTTCAGTCTTTATATTTGTAAAATTTATCTCAAGTATAAATGCTTTCCTGTACAATAAGGAATGAGCATTGGTTACAAGTTTGGCCACGTTGTTCACACGTGGAGGCATTTTCTCTGGCATAAATTAGCTTACCTAAATCAAGTTTGACAACCATTTAAAGGCCTTGTCTCATTCTTCAGAGTTCTAGGATTTCTCACCAGGATAATCTCTTTTATGGTTAGAAAAGTTTGAGGTGTTGTCAAAAGCATTGTCACATATTTCTGGTTTGTAGCGTTTCTTTCTAGTATAAATTATCTTACGTCTGTTAAGAATTTAGGGCTTATTAAAGGCTTTGCCATGTTTTTCACACTCACAGAATTTCTGTACAGTATAAATTTTTTAAAACTTAGTAAGAATTGAGGACTTGTTAAAGGCTTTGCTACATTCTTTACATTTGTAGACTTCCTCTCCAGTATGAATTATTTTGTTTAATAAGGTTCAAGGACTGGTTAAAAGTATTGCCACATTCTTCATAGTTGTAAGGTTTCTTTCCAGTATGAATTTTCCTGTGTTTAGTAAGAGTTGAGGATTGGTTAAAGGCTTTACCACATTCTTCACATTTGTAAGATTTCTCTCCAGTATGAATTATCTTATGTTTAGTAAGGTTTGAGGACCGGTTAAAAGCTTTGCCACATTCTTCACATTTGTAGGGTTTCTCTCCGGTATGAATTCTCCTGTGTGTAGTAAGAATTGAGGATTGGCTAAAAGCTTTGCCACATTCTTCACATTTGTAAGGTTTCTCTCCAGTATGAATTATCTTATGTGCAGTAAGTTGTGGGGACCGGTTAAAGGCTTTGCCACACTGTTCACATTTGTAGGGTTTCTCTCCGGTATGAATCATCTTATGTGTGGTAAGGTTTGAAGACTCATTAAAAGCTTTGCCACACTCATTGCATTTGTAGGGTTTCTCTCCAGTATGAATTCTTTTATGTTTAGTGAGGGTGGAGGACCAGTTAAAGCCTTTGCCACATTCTTCACATTTATAAGATTTCTCTCCAGTATGAATTATCTTATGTTTAGTAAGGTATGAGAATCGGTTAAAGGCTTTGTCACATTCTTCACATTTGTAGGGTTTCTCTCCAGCATGAATGAATTTATGTGTAGTAAGGGTTGAAGACTGGTTAAAAGCTTTGCCACATTCTTCACATTTGTAGGGTTTCTCTCCAGTATGAATTATCTTATGTGTAGTAAGGTGTGAGGACCGGTTGAAGGCTTTGCCACATTCTTCACATTTGAAGGGTTTTTCTCCAGTATGAATTATCTTATGTGTGGTAAGGGTTGAAGACTGCTTAAAAGCTTTGCCACATTCTTCGCATTTGAAGGGTTTCTCTCCAGTATGAATTCTCTTGTGTCTAGTAAGGGTTGAGAACCACTTAAAAGCTTTGCCACATTCTTCACATTGGTAAGAATTCTCTCTAATGTGAATTCTTTGATGTTGACTTAGGTGTAAAAGCATGCAAAATGATTTATCACATTTTTTACATTTGAAAGGTTTTTTTCCTGTGTGTCTTATCTTATGTCTATTTGAATTTAAAAATTTATGAAAGACTTTCACATATTGATCACATTGAAATATTTTGCTCTGGGTAGTTGTGAAACACTGGTTGAGTCCATTATAAACTTTGTGCACCTTACACTCATCCACCACACTTTCACAGCCTTTTCTTAACTGTAAATTCTCAGGTCCACATTTTCCATATCTTCTCAGTATCACTTGTTGAAAAGAATCTTTTATATCTTGCTGCGGCCAAAGGTCTTTGGGAAAAGAAGAACACATAGCTGAAAGAAATAAAAACAACAAATTATTAAACTTCCTATACTTAGATAAACATACCTTACAAATCTAACCTATGTTATACAAACTACATAAGCAAGATGCCATAATAAAATACCATATGCCCTAAATCCTTCATAGACATATAAATGTAATAAAAACATACTGAGCAAAATATATTGGAGGAACACTTATAAATAAATGTGTAGCCGGGCGCGGTGGCTCAAGCCTGTAATCCCAGCACTTTGGGAGGCCGAGGCGGGTGGATCATGAGGTCAAGAGATCGAGACCATCCTGGTCAACATGGTGAAACCCCGTCTCTACTAAAACTACAAAAAATTAGCTGGGCATGGTGGCGCGTGTCTGTAGTCCCAGCTACTCAGGAGGCTGAGGCAGGAGAATTGCCTGAACCCGGGAGGCGGAGGTTGCGGTGAGCCAAGATCGCGCCATTGCACTCCAGCCTGGGTAACAAGAGCGAAACTCCGTCTCAAAAAAATAAAAAATAAATAATAAATAAATAAATAAATTAATGTGTAAAGTTCCCCAGATGAGTACAATGCAAAGATAGAGAAGAAAAAGAAAAGTCTGTTCCATTCACCCAAGACATTTCTTCCTGCTCCCCAATATAACATAGTGCCTTTCAAAGTTGGTTTCTTTTTTAATAAAGAAGTAAATTACTGGCACACCAATCTTTATTTCTTGCTTCTAGGGGCCGTTCAGGAAAACTAGTCTCCCATAACATAAAGTGTTAAAAGAAATTAAAAGAATTAATTATTCTCTCCACAGCAAAAAAATTTTTTTAGTCATTCCTGACAAAGATGCCTTCATGAAAGAGCCAGGCATCATGGCTCATATCTGTAATGATAACTATGTGGTACATTCAGGTTGGAGAATTTCTGCAGGCCAGGATTTCGAGACCAGCCTGGGTAATAAACAAGACCCCGTCTCCAAAGTAAGTGCCTTTAAGAGAACTTTGAGATTTAGAGAGGGAGTTGTAAAACTCTGCTAAAGCCCTAGATTGAGGAGTGTTCTTTTCAGAGGACAGGACCTCATTCAGATGGGAAAGTACAGGACCCCCTGGCCTTGGCTACAGACCAAGAAATGGCCCAACCAACTTGGTCCCACTGAGAATTCTGTAACTATCCCAACCTCCTTCCAGTCACAGTCTGGAAGAGGTCCTGTCCTTCCAGAGATGTAGAGGAAGATACCCATTTACAGCCATGCAAGCCAGCCTGCAGATCTTGATTTTTACTGTGGCCCCTCAAGCAGTTCAATAACTCAGTTCCAGATCTCTGAGCCACGGTTCATGACCACTTTTGCCTAAATAGAAATCCACACAGTAACCTGAGACAATCCTCTCTGGTAATCACTCAGTGAAAGCCATACCCATTCACATCCTAACGTAAGGACCATTATATATGGACCCAACTGCAGAAACCTGTCCTACAGATCAAAGTCCTGAAGGATATTCAATATTTCCAAAAATAAAATGGAAATTACAATTACCCAAACCCTTTATAACAAGCCACTAAAGGTGGACCCTGGTGCAGACACAGCAGCCTGTGACCAAGCTACAACCCCTCCACTACAAACTCTGAGGGCATCCCATCACTCTAGGGACACAACAGAAAATGACCTTTGCTTCTTGAAACCAGTTTATAAAAGCTTAAAGAGATGTTGCTCCTTCAAATTCACAGACACCAGTATAAAACCATATTGTGCCCATTGTCAATGCTTCTATTTTAATGTAGCACTGGAAGTGTGTGGCATAAGAATTAGCCAAAAACATTTTTTAAAAACCACTGGAATTGAAGAGAAATAAGTTAAAAAACCATAAACAGTACATTAAAATTTGTCTAAACTGTCAGTAACTTAAGAAAATATAAAATTAACATACAAGTTATAGTTCCATATACTTAATCTGATACAATAGAGAAAGAATTTTATAATTGCATTAAAATAATAAATTTCTGAGAACAAATTTAACCAAGAAGATGAACAGTCTTTACAATGAAATATATAAGATATTAATGAAAGAAATTAAGAGAAAAATAAATTTAAAAATATTTTGTGTCAGCTGGGTGCTGTGGCTCACACCTCTAATCCCAGCACTTTGGGAGGCCAAGGTGGGTGGATCACGAGGTCCAGAGTTTGAGACCAGACTGACCAACATAGTAAAAGCCCGTCTCCACTAAAAATACAAAAATAAGCCAGGTGTGATGGTGTGTGCCTGTAATCCTAGCTACTCATGAGGCTGAGGCAGGAGAATTGCTTGAATCTAGGAGGTGGAGGTTGCAGTGAGCCAAGATCATGCCACTACACTCCAGCCTGGATGACAGAGAGAGACTCTTCTCAAAAAATAAAAGGTAAATAATTACTTTGAAAAGCAATTAAAAATAAAATAAAAATATTTTATGTTAGCTGAGTGCAGTGGCTCACACCTGCAATCCCAGCACTTCAGCAGGCCGAAGCAGGTGAATCACAAAGTCAGGAGATCAAGACCATCCTTGACAACATGGTGAAACCCTGCCTCTACTAAAAATGCAAAAATTAGCCAGGCATAGTAGAACATGCCTGTGATCCCTACTACTCAGGAGGCTGAGGAAGGAGACTCACTTTAACTCAGGAAGTGGAGGTTACAGTCAGCCAAAATTGCACCACTGCACTGCAGCCTGACTGACAGAGCGAGAATATGTCTCAAAGAAAAAAAATTTATGTCTGTGGATTGAAATAATAAATATTGCTGGGCACAGTGGCTCAATCCTGTAATCTCAGCACTTTGGGAGGCCAAGGCTGGCATATCACCTGAGGTCATGAGTTTGAGACCAGCCTGACCAATATGGAGAAACCCCATCTAAAGCAAAAACGCAAAATTAGCTGGGAGTCGTGGTACATGCCTGTAATCACAACTACTCAGGAGGCTGAGGCAGAAGAATGGCTTGAACCTGGGAGGGAGAAGTTGCAGTGATCCATATCGTGCCACTGCACTCCAACCTGGGAAACAAGAGTGAAACTTCATCTCAAACAAAAACAAAAACAAACAACAAAAGAAGAATAAATATTGTTAAAGTGCCATAGTATCTAAAGTAATCTATACATTCAATAAACTTTCAAAATTCCACTGGCATTTTTTTCCTAGTAATAGAAAATACAATTCTAAAATTTACAAGAAACTACAATAAATTTAAATAGCCTAAGCATTCTTGAGAAAAAAGAACAAAGCAGTGGGACATCATAATTTACCTTTTTAAAAAATTTTTTTTTAATATTTTTATTTTTTTGAGGCGGAGTTTTGCTCTTGTTGCCCAGGCTAGAGTGCAATCGCACAATCTCGGTTCACTGCAACCTCTGCCCTCCAGGTTCAAGTGATTCTCCTGCCTCAGCCTCCTGATTAGCTCGGACTACAGGCACATAACCATGCCCGTATTTTTAGTAGAGATGGGGTTTCACCTTGTTAGTCAGAATGGTCTCGATCTCCTGACTCGTGATCTGCCCTCCTCGGCCTCCCAAAGTGCTCAGATAACAGGCATAAGCCACCATGTTCAGCATAATTTTCAATTTCAACCTATATTTTAGGACTCTAATAATACAATCAGAATGGAATATGCAAAAAAAATATAAAGAAACCTCTAATGGAACAGAAAACACTAATCTCACACATTTCAGACACGATGCAAAAAGAGAAGTACTAGTTTAACAGTTTTTCAAAATTATGTAAATATTTGTATGCCCCCAAAACAATAAAAAAGCAGTCAGATTGTACAGTCTTTATATGCCATGAAGAGGACTTTTGCTCTCACTGTAAATGAAGGAAGTTCATCCAAGGAAAAGTAAAATTTTTAGAGAATTTAAAAGCATAAGACAAAAGATGCCCCCATGTGAGTGAAAAATTTAACAAAATATTCAAGCTTCTCAAAAACAATTTGCTTTTCAACACAGCTTCCCAAATCACGTTGTAAAAACTGACTTTTTTTTTTTTTTTTTTTTAACCTTTGGACCTCTCATCAGTGTCGTCTGTTGTATTCACTTTCACTTACCTGTGGGTCTGGCCACCATCTCATGTCTCTTCATATTACAGGACTCTTTTTTTTGCTCCAGACCGGTGATCGGGTTTTGCTTGGAGACAGCAATATCTGCTTTATTAAAAATAAATAACATGAATCTTTTAATTACCAACCTAGTACTGTGTTCAGTAAAAACGATGTAATAGAATATTCTAGAAAATTAATCCCAAAATACTAATTAATGAGAGACATCTCTAAATATTTTTTAAAAATGTTAAATTTGTAGGTCCTTAATTTTACTTTCTGGTACTCATGAATCAAAAACTGATGGTGGCAAATAGATTTTAAAATATGGGCAATGATATTTTATGCCACTAAATTTCAGGAATTATAATTAATCTAGAGTATATGATACAGTTCAGCTGAGGAATGTGGAAAGTTCAGGTCAAGATGAAACATGTTGAATAAATTCTTTTCTACATAAACAAATTCATCAAGATTTTCTTAAAACAGAAATCAGAAAGTCATTTATACAAAGCATAAATTACCAAAATAAAAAATTCTACAGAAAAAGAGACATAAACTTTTAAGATATATTAAGAATTGTGTATTAAAGTTATGCTCACCCAAGAAGACCAGGTTCCTGTAGTTCTCTAACATCACATTTCTATATAAATTCTGCTGAGCAGGGTTCAGGCTCTGCCACTCCTCCAGAGAGAATTCTATGGCCACATCCCTAAATGTCAATGTCTCCTGAGAAACACACACAGACACACATATATTTACCAAGTGGCCATGGGAAGAATTTTTATTTGAATTAAGGTGAAATGAGAGAATAAAGATAGCTGGTTCTGACTTAAAAAAATAACTGAAATTATCCAATAATTTTCAACACAGAAATATTCTCTAATGTATTCTCTTACTCTGAGGGAAGAGGATGGCATAAGGTCCACATCACCAGTGCATATCTGATACTCTTCTGGATGATAAAATATATAACTAAAGACATAAACATAAATGTATACATTTTTTAGTGCTATATTTACATCATAATGAGTTGTGTATATTTTTCAGACCAAAAAGAAAAAAAACCATGTTGAGTTATAAGGTAACTTTCAAATTTAAATGTGTACAATAAACTGGAGATCTTGTCATGAGAATTTTTTTTTCCTTGTCCAGAAGATCTGGAATAAAGTCTTGAGTTTTTAAAATTCTGACAAGATCCCTAGTAATGACAATGTTTTTGACTCAAGAAGACTTTATTGTCAAACATTCAGTAAGTGAAAGACAATGTTTTTCCCAATTTTTTCTGCCTGTAAACAAAGATAAGAGCCTTCATTTTCTGGCCGTGTGCAGTGGCTCATGCCTGTAATCCCAGTACTTTGGGAGGCGGAGGCAGTTGGACCTTGAAGTCAAGGGATCAAGACCATCCTAATATGAAACCCCATCTATAACAAAAATTAGCTGGGTGTGCTGGCACAAGCCTGTAGTCCCAGATACTCAGGAACCTGAGGCAGGAAAATTGCTTGAACCTGGGAGGCAGAGGCTGCAGTAAGCCGAGATCATGCCACTGCACTCCAGCCTGGTGACAGAGAAACACTCTGTCTTAAAA